GGGGGCCTGCAGGGCATCTGGGGAGCTGCGCTTCCTGCAGCAGCAGCAGCTGCAGCAGCAGCAGCAGCTGGAACTTAAGCAAGACGCGGCCACTCTTAAAGTCAAGCAGAAGCGTTGGGAGCAGCAGCTGTTGCAGCTCCAACAGCAGAGCAGCAGTTCCTGTTGCATCTGCATCCCTCCAGCTGAATTCCTCCAGGCCCTTTCAGCAGCAGCAGCAGCACCAGCAGCAACAGCATCTGCTGCAGCGGCTGCTGCTACGCAGCTCGCACAAGCGCAAATTCAACATGACGGAAATGGGAGTCTAAGCCCTGCTGATAAGCAGCAGCAGCAGCAGCAGCAGCAGCGGGCTGCAGCGGCAAGCGATTGCTCAGAACAGCAAAGAGCAGCCTGTTTGCTGCAGATGTTTCTCAACTCCATCGAAGGGCAATTTCCTCTCCACATGCATGGAGATCGGAGCGGCAGTAGAAAAAGCAGCAGCAGCAGCACCAGCAGCAGCAACAGCAGCAGCAGCAGGAAGTCGTGGCTTGCAGGCTGCGTAGTGCACGTAGTGGACCTCCGGGGGCCTGGCAGCACTTCTATTGCAGAGGAAGCAGCAATTCTGCTGCTGAAGCGACTTGGCTGTTTGCTTCACAAGGGCTCCTTTCTTCCGCAGCAGCAGCAACAGCAGCAACAGCAGCAGCAGCAGCAGCAGCGGAAGCAGCTGCCGCATGCAACACAAACAGCACTGCTGAGGAGAAGAACCACGAAATACAGCCTTTCTGCCAACGGCAGCAGCAGCGCGCAAGCGCAGCAGCAACAGCAACAACAGCAGCAGCAACAGCAGCAGCACCATATAGAGGCAGCTGCTGCTGAAGGCCCCCCCACAGGACACGGCTGCTCGCAAGGCCCCCGCACTGCTACCGGCAGCAGCAGCAGCAGCAGCAACGGCAGCAGCAGCAGGACACAGCTGCAGCAGCAGCAAGCAGAGCCGCCTCGAGAGGACGACAGCTATGCACAGTGAGGCAGCGGAATTAAGGGCTGCAGCTAGTCTGCATGCATTAACTGCGTTTCAGCTGCTGCTGTTGCTGCTGCTGCTGCTGCTGCAGGTTTTCAGTTGTCGTCTTGCTAGGCAAGGGAAGAGAAGGGCGGGAGCAGCAAAAAGCAGTCTTGCCGGAGGAGGAGATTTTTAAGTTGCTGCTGCAGCAAGGTGTTGCAGGTGGGTCTTGCTGCTGCTGCTGCTGCTGCTGCGTATGTTTTGCTGCAACTGCTGCTGCTGAGCTTGCTGCTGCTGCAGCGAGTGTCGCTGCCGCTCCAGCGCATTTCTGCTGCCGGTTCAAATGCTGCAATGTTTTCGTTTGTTGCTCTTGCTGCTTCCCAAAATGCTGCTGCTGTAGCTGCTACAGCTGCTACAGCTGCTGCAGCTGCTGCTGCTGCCTTCGTTTGCGACGAATTAAGGCTTGCGGTTTTGCTGCTGCTGTCGTGTTTGGCAGCAACAGCAAATGGGTTAACAAAAGGTAGAGCGTGTGGTTGGGCACGCAATCAGTTCGCTGCTGCTGCCGTTGCTGCTGCTACTGCTGCTGCTGCTGCTCTGCAGGGTTGATGCTGCTGGAGGGAGGAGCCCCAGCACTTGCAGAAGCAGCAGCTCAAGCCCCCGCACCGCTGCATAGAAGACTCTCAGTTCGAACGGAAAGCAGACAGCGCAGCAGCAGCAGCAGCAGCAACAGCAGCAGCAACAGCAGCAGCAACAGCAGTAGCAGCAGCATGAGGTCTCAGATTGGCAAGGCCCCAATGGCTACCTCTCCCAGCTCTTCGAGTGGCGAGCTGGCAGCAGCAGCTGCATTGGCAATGAGAGCAGCGACTGCAGCAACTTCGCCAGCAGCAGCCGCAACAGCAGCAGCAACAGCAGCAGCAACGGCAGCAGCAGCAGCACGGGGTGTCTCTCTTGGCGCCGAGGCCCTTACATCGTTTGCTTTGGGCCTTTTGAATTTAGCAGCAGATTCATTTGGCGAAGAGCTGGAAGCTGCAGGTCGCCCCAGCCTAGACACCAACAAGCAGCAGCAGCAGCAGCAGCAACAGCAGCAGCAACAGCAACAGCAGCAGGGAAGTCTGCTTCAGGCAAGCCGAAGCCCTCCAAAGCCAGCGCTGGTTCGGCATAAGCAAATGCAGTTGCCACACGAGCAGCGGCAGCAGCTGCTGCAGCGGCAGCATCAAGAGCAGCAGCAGGAGCAAGAGCAGCAGCAGCAGAAACAGCAGGAGCAGCAAAGCTCTAACGACGCTGTGAAGTATGCTGTGAGCCTCAGACCAGCAGCAGCAGAAGCTCCTTGCGCTTCAAATCCTGCTGCTGCTCCTTTCCTCAACGATTTGTCTCACAGCTTTTCTTCTCTCCGTTTGTTTGCTGCACAAGTAACCGGAAGCAGCAGCAGCAGCAGCAGCGGCAGCGGCGCAAACAATCAGCAGCAACTAGCAGGGCCAGCGGGTGGCCAGCCTTTAGTAACATCTCTGCTGCTGCAGCGGCAGCCGCTTTCTCAGGGCGCGTCGTATGCATCGCCAGGTGCAGCAGCAGCAGCAGCAGCAAACGGAGCAGCAAATGCACCTGCAACAGCAGCAGCAGCAAGTGGAGCAGGCTGGAAGGGCGCAGACCGCTCTCTTGTACGAGATACCGCTGCCCCTGGGGAGCAGCAAATGCTGCTGCTGCAGCAATTTCTGCAGCGCGTCTATGCCACAGAGCAGGCTTCGCAGCAGCAGCAGCAGCAGCAGCAGCAGCAATTAGTGCCAAGCTACAGAAGCACAATCCCTCTTCCTCCCCAGGCCGCCACCAGTGGGTCTCTACTGGGGACAGCGCAGCAAAGCTTCAGCAGCAGCAGCAGCAGCAGCAGCATCGGCGGACTGCAAAGTAAGTCTTTTGCTGCTGGCCACCTCAGGCCACGGCGACTGACGGTTTCTGCTGCTGCTGCAGACCATGAGGCAGCAGCAGCAGCAGTGGGCGGTGCCTTCCTAACGCACTCTGCTACCCTAAAACGATGCACTTCCAACAGCAGCAGCAGCAGCAACAGCAGCAGTTCGGCTGCAGCAGCAGCAGCTGGGGGAAGCAGCAGCAATTCTCAATTTGCTGCTTTTCCGAAGTCAGAACGGCCACTTGATGCAGCAACAAGGCTGCTGCAACTATCTGCAGCAGGAAGCCCAGTTGAACGGGACGCGCAGCAACAGCAGCAGCAACAGCAGC